GGAGCATACAACAGGCAACTGGTCAGCATGGTTTCTTTTGTGACGATGGCCATCAGTGCCCTGGCAAGTGAGGGATTATTTTTGCTTCTGTCAATCCAAACATGCTAACAACGCTATCTCCTTCTTCCACGTCAAACGTACTAAATATAGATGTGGTCACAACGACTGCAATCTTTTTCAGGCTTTGTACATCACATTGCGTGTTCTAAATTAAAGTATTTGCATCTATTCCTCCCAATATTTTGCACACTCGGGTAGAAACGCGCACTCCTCAGTGCGTACCGTTAATAGATCAGCTTGTGTGATTTTTTGCAGATGAAATCAAGGTTTGCTAGTTTTCTATGATATCTTCTGTGCTGGAGGTGGGACTAGAGACAAATACATTGTTTTGGAAGGTTTAGTCTGAGAAAGTTGTTTCCCATCCAGTGTTTTATTTCAGCAAGGAACTTGTGGAGAGTTGATTTTGAGTTAAATTAGTCATTAGGACTGATTGGAATGTAGAGCTCTGCTTAACAGTCAAAGTGAACATTGTGATTGCAGATGATGTTGCCAAGGGGGAGCATATAAATGGAAAATTTTAACCCTGGGGGACACCCAGTGGCGGATTTAGCAACTTAGGGCGAACACAGGCATGGGGCCCTCCACATACGTTGTTCTCAATCTATTTTCAATCCTTATTTATCTAAGAAAGTCCTACTTGTAACTTCCCAACCTAAAAAAAACATATTAACAGTTTTACAAATGCACTCACAGTAAAATCTTATTTTCATAAACAATATGATCTCTGTACAATAAGAATGAACCGTACTGTCCATTCACATGGAAGATCTGTCATCTATTACCTTGGTTTTCAGCAGGATCTCTGATTAACTTGATGATGGGCCTCTGTCTTATATCTTGTTTTAATTAACTGAGAAGATAACACACAAGGAAATATGAGGAACAGTGGAAACACAGAGTGTCTCTGGTCACATCTGCTCAGTGATCAGCTGCTTCATGATCAGAGCAGAAGCTGCAGTTGGTTTGTTTCAAGCTGGAGTTTCTGTTTCCTCCTCCACTCTGAGTTGCTTTCATTTTAACTAATAAACACTCATCAGTAGTTATCACGACCTGATCAGAAAATGAAGTAACTCACTGTTTGTTTGATTCCAGAGTTTATGAGGCTGCATTTATGAAAATGAGTCATCCACATAATGTGTGCACTCAGTACAACATGAGAGGCAACACACACAGATTCATGATCCGACACCATCAATTAATAACATAATTGAACAAATGAACGTGAAGGAGTTCATTTTCATCTGTATGAACTGAACTAGATCTTATTAAGTGTGATCTGGTGCAAAACTTCTCGTCAGTCTCTGTTTACACTCTGAATCACGTCTGTGGACGCGCTCATGAAATAGTCCAAGGGGCTTCTTGCCCTTAACTATACCATTGTGAAAAAGAGCTGAGGGATGGCATATAAAATGGTCTAGAAGGGTTCAAGGGTAGGCAGGCTATGATGCTGCTGTCAGTCATGGATCAGATTTTTTTTTATTGTTTCTGTGAAGAATATTTCAAATTTTCAGCATTCTGATAGATTGAGGTGGAAAATTAGTTTGCCTGTGTTTCTTTCACTGCAGCATTACATTTTTAATAAAGTCCTTCATGTGTTCATAATAAATATTAAGTTTGCTGGCTTTCCATTTGAGCTCAACTTTACGTAGCTCCTTCTTTAGAGTGTGGGTGGTGTCATTAAACCTTGGAGGAGGATTTGACACTGATCTGATTCTGATTGGGGAAACTGAATCCAATGCTGCCAGGCAGAGGTTATAATGGATTTGTTCAGTGTCAGTTATGTGGGGCAGGGCCGAAGAGAGGGATAAGAATGGATATGAAAATTTGCCAGCTGTTGTTGAATTAATGCCAGAGCCAATGGAGGACAGTTTAATTTCGGGGGGAGAGGGACAATATAAAGTAAACATAACACTAAAGAGATCAGATACACAGGTATTAATAAGTTCCATACTGTCGATCTTCATGTCAAATGATTTAACAAGTTTGAGAGTATGGCCCCTTTCATTGGGGTGTCAAATTTTAACAATATTAAAATCACCAATAATGCAGATCCAGTAATAATTAGGCAGAAATAGAGAGAGAGAAAATTGCAATTGTGTTTTGGAGGCCAGTAGACTAAGAGGAATAAAAAAGGAAGATGCTTGTTCACACAAAATGTTCCCCATAGCAGAAAAGCCCATTTCAATACAAATCGCTCACCCCAATTACTAAGCATTTTTAAATGACTAGGGGTAAATGAAAACTCTTTAAACTTTGCAAATTCATCAAGATTGGTCCAACTTCATTTCTAATCTGGCTGTTGAGCATGGGTGTGGCCAAATGACTGGTTGCCCCACGGAATATTTTAGTGAAGAAGCCCCCCCATTCCGTCGTTTCATTGTGTGAAATTTGAAGGGTTTATGCTTATTTGAGTCCTCAAAGCAGGTTGATAATATACACTTCTAACTTGTTCAGGAAATAATACCTCATCAAGACCTTGATAATCATAATTGTGAAAATTGTGATTAATCATCAAATGGTTTGTTCGCACATTTCGATGCTGTGCCATTAAAACAAATGGTTGTAACTAGGGCTGGGCGATAAAACAATAAATATAATTATCACAATATAACTTATCCGCGATAGAAATATAAGACATGGTCGATAGAACGTCTGTAGAACTCATTCCATCGCAAATTTCGATGCTGTGCCATWAAAACAAATGGTTCTAACTAGGGCTGGGCGATAAAAATAATTATCACAATATAACTTATCCGCGATAGAAATATAAGACATGGTCGATAGAACGTCTGTAGAACTCATTCCATCGCAAATTTCGATGCTGTGCCATAAAAACAAATGGTTCTAACTAGGGCTGGGCGATAAAACAATAAATATAATTATCACAATATAACTTATCCGCGATAGAAATATAAGACATGGTCGATAGAACGTCTGTAGAACTCATTCCATCCATGTTTTGACAGACAACAATAGTGCCGCACTGAACCAATCATGTGGCTGGAATAGAGGAGGACCATCAGCACACGTGCTAAAGTTTGGCCTCCTGCAGAGACATGGACGACTCTACATCGATGCTGTGACTGAACATTATCGATTTGTTTTTTCTGCTATATTAATTGCTTTTAATAATTACAACCAGCGCTGCTTTAGGATCAGGACAGATGCACATTAAAGGTCCAGCCATCCTGTTCTGAGTCTCCTGTCGGACTCTGCTTCCTGCTTAGTCTCCATCTGAGCTGCACTCACTTTACACTTTAACAATAAACATCATCACTGATCAGAAGTTATTAGGAAACGTAAAGGACTGAAGTTTACTTTGTGTTTGTTTGATTCGCTCTAGAGTTTATGAGACACATGTTTGAACCTGCTATACAACACGAAGTGTAATGTAAATCGCATAGTCAAGACATGGATTCATGATAACTAAATACATGTATACATTATCAGTTTGTGTGTGAAGTATCTTATCACAAAAAAAAATATTGTGATAAGATACTTTTCCAAATCGCCCAGCCCTAGTTGTAAATAACATAAAATGTCCAATCTTTCCCAAATGATGTCTGTTAATAAGAGTCATGGCATGAGGACATCTACACGCCACTATTCAAATAAAGTTGTAGTGCCAAACAATGGCAACAGGAAATTACATGTTTTCATAATAATTATTAGGGTCCACCTACTGGCATTAGAAGGATGCATTTCGCATGTTTTTTGCTTGTTCTCACTCATTCAAGATGTGTTTGATGGTCGACGCACGCTTTCCTCTTATAACCCTCTTCATTTAGTGTCCATAGTACAGCTGCTCCATTATGGCAAAGATGATAATCACTATTATGTTGGCAAATATTGTAATCATGATTATTTAACATGATAACTCACTGACTTTCTAAACATCACGCATGTATTGAACTGAAAAATAAATAAAAAATAATGAAAATAAATAATTTCATCGCCCATGTCAACAAATTACAATACAGACACACTGCCGGTGTAAACAACAGACAACTGCAACACACAGCAGAACCATTCACGCAGGCAGTGTGGCCAGAGCATCATAAGGAAAGACAAAAGGAGAGCCTCATTGCAAAATTAAATGTGGGATAATAATTGTTTTATGTAGATAACTTTGTTTTTTTCATAATCATTTTAAGCAACAATTGTAATTGAAATTCAATTCACCCCATAGTGTTCTAAAAACCAGGCCCCCTCTATGTAACACAAATTTAATACATACATACATACAATTATACATATATGTATTTTCTTACCCTAGAAGCCCTGAGAACAATAAATGAAAATGCTGAAATCCTTGTGGTCTGGACTGTATATAAAGTCTCAGGCCATTTCAGATTACTTGCCACACTGTCCAGCAGAGGGTACCCTCATGCACCATTTCTTTACTGTTGCTTTAAAAGTGACTAATGCACATCTAAAAGGGGGGAAATAATTAAAATTTGTGTCAGCCTATGTAGTGGTCTGCTGTTGTATTGCATTCAGAAAAACTATAAAATGTGGTATTGAAAAAACTTCAACCCTGTGGGCTCCTACATAAATCTACAAAGGGCTGCATGTATACTGCTGCAAAAATGTGTTGCCTTTCCTCTCCACTGACTTCATCATAGTCACCTCATCACTAAACTGCAACAACACTGTCAGATTTAAGATGGAAATTTGAAAAAATGTCAATGCAGCAGAACCTGATTGGATTTGGGTGTGTTATACTCGTAGTAGATGGTGTAGTCTAGAGCCTGCCAGACATGAGGAGGAGATTACATAAGTATGACAGGTACCATCAAGTGCAGAAATAAAACTGCTGTTGCCATCAACTGTTTTTGTGGAGAAATTATCTTCTTCCTCAATAGCTTGCCAAACAAAAATACAATCAACTGTGTAACTAAGTGAAAATATCCACTATACACCCCCTTTTGGACACTAACCTGTTCCACAAGTCATCATCTTCTCCTCCCCAGCCCCAGAAGGCGTTGGGAAAACCATTAATCTTGCGGAACTGGTCCACAGTGAGTCCACTCACACCACCAAAGAATTCTCTGTATGGAAGTCTGGAAACAACAATAAACATGATGTAAATACCACATGTCAAAATATCAACAGCATCCATTTTTATGACATATAGAGGAAACCGCTGATGATGATCACGGATATAGTGATCAACCATTTGCATGGATCAAAAAGCTTGGAAAGGAACTGTTCCTATAGAAATGCGGTTTAAATAATTCAATTATACAGATCAAGAAATCTGCTTACATTATTCATTTTGGGTGTTCTCATACATGTTTGGTTTTTTAGTTTTTACCAGCTCTGTTTTACCCATAACCCGGAATGAAAACAAACAACTGAAACAGAGAAGAAAAGTCTCCAACATTATAAGAAGCAATGAAAAACAGTTTCTCTGTGTAAGTAAATGGGACGGGAAGTCTCTTGAACATTGGGACTGAAAGCATTAACTGTAAGCGAGATGAATTCTCCACATTTGAAGACAGTAACTTTATACAGTAATTTTTACATCTGGGAAAGAATCATTACAAAAAGGCTGAATCAGTCCATAACAATTAGCAGCAGTCAGTAACAGTCCAGAATGAGTAAGCTGCTGTTTCCAGTCTTGCAGCAGGAGGCTGATCACACTGACTGACCTGGGGCCTCATCTATAACTGTTGCATTTGCACAAAAGGGGGTCTGAAAGATGCGTACGCCATTTCTCATTCAAGCGTTGGGATCGAGAAAAACAAACTTGAAAGGAGAATGTGCACACTTATACACTTACTCTGACACATGCATGCAAACATTTTGGAGAGGGGAAAATAGCGATGCAGACTTGAGGTGGTGAACTGAAGCCAAATTATTGATCCACTTCATCATTAACACTGCGTTATTTGTGCTCGCTCGACAATACTGTTCCATACGAACCTTCAATTGCGTTCTGATACCATTCAACGGTGGAGTTGTGTCATTAATCTTTTTTAATAATATTTTCTCACACTGTGCGTGTATCATTAAGTCCTACTTTAGTTTTCATAGTGTGTGTGTGTAAAATGAAATTACAGCAGTGAACATGACTGTGCCATCAGGTGTGTAGAGCGCACATGATATTCACTTTCAAACTTCTATTTCCAAATTATATCCCCGAGTGGAAGTTAGGATCCACTGATGTGTGAAGTAATCAGTCCAATTGCTCTAAATATATAAATACTGCAGTGACACAGTGTAATGCTGTGTGATGGATGCACTAGCACTGATAAGAGTGCATGAATGGAAGAATTAGGAGGAAATGCGTTCAGTCATCATTAAGATCTTTTTGTCCCATGATGATGACTAATCACCTTATATAGATTATATAGATCAGTGACTTGGATCTTTGTGCTGAACTGAGTTCAGTATTACACAGATCGACCCAATGGAACTAAACCATCCCAGTACAAACATAAGTAAGTTTCATGAGCAGACTGGCCTGTGTGATGTATGATTAACACTTTATAATATTTACCTTTCTATGTAGAGCCTCTTTTAATCATTTTTAAAAAATCTGTTAAATTCTATAGATTGGGAACATGACAGCTGTCTGTGAATTTAATAATAACCAGGATGATGCAGTCTGTTACAGTCGTTCCTGGCTGTTTTCTTATGTTAACCAGTGGTATGGAGAGATATTTGAAGTTCTGCCAATGGAGCATCTGAGCTCAGTTTTAAAGCGAGTTATTTTGATAAGCTGTGGGCTCCCTTCTTGAACCGCCTACCGGGTGATGTAGCAGACTTAGTACATAGATTCCTCTGTATCACCCTAATGCTCTTTCTCAAGTGTTGATTTTGTTTTACTGAAATGGCTGCACAGTCTCTGTTATGTCATTCGGTCTATGTGATATGTTTTTACTTACCTCTGCTGTCATGTATGTTCTCTGTTCTGTGTCTGTTTAAAAATGAATAAAATATTGGATTAAAAAAAAACAAGCCCCTTCATATATCAAAGAGCTCATAACACCATATTATCCAAATAGATCACTTTGTTCCCAAAACACAGGCTTGTGGTTCCAAGAGTCTGTAATGGTAGAATAGAAGGTAGAGCATTCAGCTACCAGGCTCCTCTCCTGTGGAACCAGTTCCCACTCTTGGTTTGGGAGGAGACACGATCTCTGCTTTTAAAGTTAAACTAAAAACATTCCTTTTTGATAAAGCTTATAGTTAGTTCTGGATCAGGTGAGTCCTGAACCAGCCCTTATTTATGCTGCTATAGGTCTAGACTGCTGGGAGAACTCCCATCATCCACTGAGCACTTCTCCCCTTCTCTCTGTCTCCCTGCTCTGCTCTCCCCAACCAGTCAAGCAGAAGCTGCCCACATTGAGCCTGGTTCTGCTGGAGGTTTCTCCCTGTTAACAAGGGAGTTTTTCCTCTCCACAGTCGCCAAAGTGCTGCTCATTGTGGGAACTCAATAGCAAACACCTAGATGTGTTGCTCTTCTTCCTCTCATTGCTTTATGCCATGATTCACCATAGAAACCCATTGGTCAGCAGGGTAATTAAATATTCATCAGCTGCTTTGCATTGACCATTTATGGTTGAATGGGGACATGTAAGGGGTGGACTTTAAGGCAAATCCATGTACGCACACACAGTTGAGGATGATTTATAAAGGGAACATTGCCTTCAGGTGTATGTGCACAAATTACTTTACATATCATTTAGCTTACTCTTTTATACAAAGCGACTCACAATACGTGCATTCAACCGTGAGGGTACAAACCGAGAACAGCAAGAATCATGTAAGTACATTAGCTTCAAAAAGCTGAAATGCTGTATTTATTTATGTATGTATTTGCAATATAGATGTGCAGTGCTGACTATGGCACTGAAACCATCACGGTTTTATAAATCTGAAGCTTTTGTGCACATATACATTACGAATCCTACGCACTGTTATATAAATGAGGCCCCTGGTCCCCAGATGTGAGGCCAGACCAGCAGCATCGTCAAGGTGAGGGCCACACACCTCAACCACACCGCCCAGTGTCATGATTTTTGCCTCTTGCAGTCTCTGTGCCAGATAAACACACACTAGGCCCCCCGGTTAAACCAACTGTCTATCAGTTTTCTCCAGCTTACCAAAGGAGACATTTACCAAAGGCAATTATATTCTCCTTAAGAACATTAATATCATGTTGAGTTTTGATAGGAAAAATTACATCATCGGCATATGCAGACAATTCAAAAAAAATCATGCCCAAGAAAGGAGAAATTAATCCTAAATTTGTGCAGAAAAGATTCTATCCCTGCCTGACTTTTCCTCTGAACCTTAAACAGCATTCAAACAACCGTTAATTTTAAAGGTTCAGTGTGTAAGATTTAGGTGAAAGGGATATATTGGCACAAATTGAATATAAAATAATCCTTATGAAGTTTTAACTAGTGTGTTTCATCAAAATTGAACAAATTGTTGTTGTTTTTTTTAACCCTAGAACAGGCCCTTTATATTTAAATTCTTTATATTCACATCAAGGGGGTGATCTCTATGGAGGCTGCAATGTTTTTAACAGTGGTTCAGACTGGACAAAGTTAACCACTTTTTAGTTTTTATGACAACTTTAGTCTACCACAGTTTCTCTAACATATTTGGAAGGGGAGGGTGAGGTGAGTGGTATTCAGCTGCAACATGCAATTTCACCATGAGATGTTACTCAATTTTACACACTGTACCTTTAAGTATACTCTCAATGTCATTGTACAAGACATTGATCTTGGCTAGAACTTAACCCAAATTCATGCAGTGTCTGCCACAAGTACTGGTGTTCAACTCGGTCAAAAACCTTTTCTTTATCGAGAAAGCTCGAACCAGAGAGGTCCAAAATGTCTCAAATCAAAGTAATCTTATCAACCTCCTGGGTACAAAATATGTAAGAACCCAATTTTATGTCACACATATCAATTATAAAGCTGCGTCCAATCAAAAACAAAATACACAAATAAAAGAGGAAAAAAAATCATCATTTACAATTTGGGCTCAAACCTTCATTTCAGTTTCTTTAACCGGAAAATCTCTGGATCAGTGAAAGAAGACTGCCCCAAGTTTCCTGTCTCAATGAAATACCTCACTGATTCATGAAAGAGCTGCAAATCAGGGAAATACTCTTAACTTATACAGCCCTCATTCCCTTTGTGTCTGTCAAAAAACCATTTTTTGCATGTCAACCTGCATATTCTCATTCTCAACCCCACTCTGTGTCCTATCGATGTCACTCTGCGTGCTCTGTATGTTTTTCTTTGACTGAGTCTTGTGTTTTTTTGAGTGCTTGTTAGTTTTTATAGTGTTAGCTTTAGTTTCTGTACTTTTCCTTTTAACAGACCATCCATCTTCTTCACAGTCTAAAACAGACTCAGTCACTCAGGTTGCAGTCCCTCCTGTCTCTCCTTAACCTCAGCCTGAGTACTGAGCTCATCCTGCTGAGAAATGTCTGTGTTATCAATGTGTTGATCCTGTGATTGACTGTGCTCCCTATCTGTTCTGTGCAGCAGAGTCTGTATGTGTGTGCACATTCGCAGGGGGCAATGCAAACCCTCTGCAGCAGATAGATTATAGCATCATCTACACCCAAAAGGGGCTGGTACGCAAACTACAGAGGGTCTTGTGATGAGCACACCAGTGGTCTGAGGTGTGCCAGGACCAGTCTCTCCATCACCTTCATTATGTGAGAGGTCAGTGCTATGGGCCTGTAGTTGTTCAGTGTCACAGGGTGCCCTTTCTTTGGCACTGGAACCAGGAAGGATGTTTTCCACAGCACTGGGACTCTCTGGAGGTGCAGGCTCAGGTTGAAATGTTGGAGTACTCCGCAAAGCTGTCTGGAGCATGCCTTCAGCACCCAAGAGCTGATGCCATCTAGTCCAGCAGCCTCCCCTGATTGAGCCTCTCCAGCTCTCTCATCACCTGGCTAGCTGTGATGTAAAGTCCAGACTTGGGGGTGGGGGATGTGGCATAGTCTGGGGAGTGTGTCAGCAGGGGGGTGGAGGGTGGTAACGACAGGGGTAGTGTGAAGTGGTCACTGTTGCGGGAGTTGGTGGGGGGCTGTGAGAGAGGGTACAGACCTGTTTGGTGGGGATGGAGTTGTCAATGCAGAACCCAATGTACTCAGAGACACAGTCAGTGATACCATCGATGTCCTCACCATGTGGTTCATACAGGGCATTCCAGTCATTATCTCCATGGCCTCGTGAGACCATTTCCTCACAGTCCTCGCTGTAACTAGTTGCTGCTGAACCACAGGCTTGAAAGATGGTGTGAGCAGGACTAGTTTGTGGTCTGACCTCCCCAGTGGAGGGGGGGAGCAGTGGAGTTGTATGCATCTTTGGAATTTGCATACAGCAGATCAAAAGTCTTATTTTCTCTTGTGGTGCATTTAGCAAACTGGTGGATGGTGGGAAGTGTGGAAGAGAAAGAGACGTGGTTGACGTGTGATGATCAGTGTTGAGCTTAAAAAAAATCTACATTCAAACTATAGCAATTTAGAGACATCAGTTCAGAGAGAAAGAGAGAAGCAGAGTCTGTATCTGTGTGTCTTTGTGTGTGTTACTTTTACCTATGAGTTCTCTGCTCTCTCTCTATTCTCTTCTTTTGATAATGATTAATTGATGGAAAAACCCAACAATTATCTGAATATCTTCAATTTATTAGTTAGGGCATCAGGGCTCCATCTGATTGGCCACATATAGTGTCATACAGAGCGTGAATGCATGGCACATGGATCACCATTTATCGCAGTTCAAGTCATCTGTTGGGAGTGCCTATATGTACTCCATATGTACTATATGTACGCATGTTGATATCGTGATGATGACAGATGAAACAAACAAAATAAATTGTCAATACAAATTTGTCTTCATCTTTTAACATTACAGCAGTTGCATTTTCA